CCTTAAGGGATCGCAAATTATAAGAGAGCTCGATTGAATTGTCACTTCTACTTTGTTGAAAATGCCTTGTGCAAAATGAATTAGGCACACTTTTAGCTCACGCTTGTTTGCGGTAGTGCCCACCTCTGCACATAAGGGATCTGTTAAATGAGTTTTGCGTGTAAGTGGTTACCCAACGCACAGCATTACATATCTATGTAGAAGTCTGTTGATTTTTGATTTCTGCGTCAAATTATATGCTATGCAATGCAGTGCAAAGTATTCATAACTGAGCCTTAATTTCTGAAACCATTTCCGAAAAGTGACAGAAAGGTCTTGCTGGCTGTTTACATCTGGAAATAAAATTACTCTTTCTTAATTTAACAGCGAATTGCGTGGAAATTTTGGAAATATTGCAACGTCTGACACGCTGTTGGTATACAGTCTCTTCGACAAGAAAGACTGCGAGGTTTCTGATAGTAGAATAAAAGATATTACTATTTATTTTCGTTCAGTTTCGCTAATTGAATCATGAAGAAATTAACGGTACTCCGAAATTTGAATAAAATCATTTTAGTCCGTTGTTTATTGTGCTTAAGAATTACTTGTTATGGGCCATTTCATTGTCACTAGTGGGAATGTGATAAATTGTGAATTTCAACTATGCCGTCGGAACTTATACGCAGCGAAAGATATTTTTTAACATAGAACGATAACTAATGTATCAAACTGCTTTAACAAAAATACCAAGCGATTTCTTCTGATAGTTTTATGTAACTATCATTTGAATGAATGTGACTGGCGGGACACTGAAAAGAACTCTATTTTACCCTTGTGCACTCAAAGATGAATTTTAGCCAAAACACTTCCAGGGTTACTAAAAAAAAAGTTGAATGGCAAAATGTTGGCTGGCGGCCAACTTTGTTGAAAGCGATTAGTTGAAAGACCGTTCAGCCAAACGTAGAATGCAAAGTTGACCAATGCAAAGGCCTTCTTATGGCGAATATTTTGATAATTTTTTATATTTTGATATTTTGAACCATTCAATTACTGACATATATCGCTATCTTAATATGGAAAGGCCCTATCGAACATTTTCCGTTCCGGTCAGGTTAGTCATTGAAGGATACAATAACTCGCATAAAACTGAAAATGTGTACGAGTGTTGCGAACACCATTATGAATAAAATGGCAAAAGTCCCCATCGATCCCACGCATGCAAACAAATTTATTCAAGGTAGAAGGTCACATAAATTTATTTTTGCATTTTTTAGCAAAACGGTAAGGTTAATCACAAAACCAAGTGAGATGAAAAAAAAAAATTTCTGCACAATATGGGTGACAGGTAACAAGATCAACGGAAATATAGTCAATTGACATTATTACCTTTTCAAAAGCGAAATAAAGTCAACAAAAATTTGGAAATAAAGTCATTGACGCTATTTCCACATTCAAATGGAAATAGCGTCAACAATGCTTAAAGTATGTCAATTCATAGAAAAAAATTTTGTTACAGTAAACATTTCTCCGTAAGTGTTGCTTTTTAATAGATGAAAAAGGTTATTGCCAAATCCTCAGTGTTGTGATATTAATCCACATACAATCATGAACTACCACCAATTGATTTTATTAAAAAAATTTAAATTACGAATATGTAAAAACACGATGCGAAAAACTAAGCGCCTGCGCACAGCTGGAAAACGAGAAATATTTGAAGAAAGAGTGTAGAAATGATCCATAACTTGCAAAACATGTTTCGTTTCCACAAAAATAAAGCGAAAACTATTAAATTGAAGAAACAGTTTATGTCCAAAAACCTCGGAGGAATACTGAAAAAATTCTGTGTTTTAAATTAGCATATTTTGAACGAATTCGGAATGTCTTAGGTGGCAAAGAAACCAACCTTTCTATAAGGAAACAATTATAGAAAAAGAATTTTCTTACACTGTATTCATGTCTCCGCCAGCAATTTGTGACAAAATCATTTAAAAGCAGCGGCATAGCGTGACGTGGTGTGGCGCGCGGACGCTGGCCGACGCGAAGCTAAGCAAATTTAATGTTTGAAAGAGCAATGATGTCAATGGATTTTATTTCGCTTTTAAAAAGGTAATAATGCCCACCCTGGTGCGAAATAAAGTCAATTGACCTTATTTCCTTACATGTTATTACCTGTCACCNAAAGAATTTTCTTACACTGTATTCATGTCTCCGCCAGCAATTTGTGACAAAATCATTTAAAAGCAGCGGCATAGCGTGACGTGGTGTAGCGCGCGGACGCTGGCCGACGCGAAGCTAAGCAAATTTAATGTTTGAAAGAGCAATGATGTCAATGGATTTTATTTCGCTTTTAAAAAGGTAATAATGCCCACCCTGGTGCGAAATAAAGTCAATTGACCTTATTTCCTTACATGTTATTACCTGTCACCTACTTGTGAAGTAGTGGATTTCACGCGCTCTTAAGTATGTATAGAGCTTTATCCGAATTTTTTTAAGCTTACACCATATTTTGAGCTAACTTGGCCGGGTTATACAAAAATTTCAATCTCCATATCTCAGAAAGGGTAATCCTTGGGGACAAAAATGTTATAAAGCTAGGCGCACATTGCATCCGATAGGCCGACCGATTTCGGCCGAACAATTTGACCGTCCGAACTGAATCGCACACTTAACCAGATTATTTTCCGTCCGTATTTGTACCCACAAATCTGGTTTTCATTACAATTTTGTAAGCAGTGAGATATTTTGATACATTTTAATTGACATAAATACTTTAACCATGTAATTATAGGTAATGTTTTTTGTTTTGCACCCAATAAGTTAATTTTTCGCAGCCCGTTTTGCCTGACATCGGGCGAGAAAAACAAACATGTTTGAATTTATCGTCACTGACTGACGTCAACGGGCGATGTCGGTTCGGTTACCGCTCATATATTCATATCGCCCGATACGATAGTACGATAAAACTGTAAAATCTAAAGAAATAGAGGCTACTTCTAATCCTCCCCATGGAGAGGCTAAGAATTATAACATGCATTTAACGGGACATTGCAGGCTTAGAGGCCACTTGTTTAATCTGAGGATCTGGTCAAGCGACTTACATATATCGCTTCTTTGGCTCCGCCAAAGAGACACCATTGCACTTTCTTTTGGAGTGCGTGTCCGTTTCACGAAGTAGGGAGAGGTGCATAGGGTCATATATGTGACCTGGTCTACGGAAAGGGGGCTTAGATGTCAAAAAATCAATTTTCACTTTTTGGTTGATTCGGATGGAAGATGAGATGCTTTTTCACGTGGTGAAAAGCAGAAAATCCTAACTTGCTTAGAAGTGTACTAAAAATGTAGAGAAAGAAGAGTAAAAACGAGTAAACGAAACGAGTTGCTTACTTTTAACAGCTTTTTCACAGAAAACTAGTTTTCGCACGTAAGCTCCCTTTTCGTAGACCAGGTCACATATGGCCAAGTGAAGAGCATATACCGTCACTAGACACAAATAAAGACGTTGGCTCAAAAGTTGACCGCAAAAAAATACGCATAAAAAACTTCTACGAAGAAAGCCTTTTAACATAGTTGAAGGCGAAAAAAGACGCATAAAAAACTTCTACGAAGAAAGTCTTTTAACATAGTTGAAGGCGAAGAAAGACGCGTAAACTTATTTTTGCGGTCAACTATGTTTGCGGGTGTAACAGTATGTAAATTCCCCAAAGAGTTTTTGGAGAATGATGCTGAAGTGGCAGTCCTTGGCTATGTATAAATCTATGTTAAAGTTAATCAGCCTCATTGCGAGAGTCGTGAAATTAACCTTTCACAATATTTTGTCCAGGCGGCGGTATCTCAATTACGTTACGCTCTTACCTACAACAGTTACGTGAGCAAAGTTATAATAATACACCCTTGGGCGCAAGTAACAAAATAAGTTTTGATATTTGTAAGAAAGAAAATCTGCTCAATTCTGAATACTCCCGGGGAGTTTGTTCTCCAGGAATTTGTTTCTCCCGAGGAAGAAATCCTCCAATAATTAACTCCCAGGGAGTAGCATTTTCCCCGAAAATTTTGGAGGAGGAAACTCGAACTTCGAAAGAGCTGTTTGACACTTTTTTGACAGCTCAACTCGCCATTTAAAATAAAAAATCCTCAGGAAATTTTTATTCATAATAGGAGGAAAAGAGAGAACTCACAGGGAGTTTCTGTTCAGAATCGGCCTGGAAATGTTTTAGTTTATTTCCTGAGGCACATGCAACTCCTTTTAATACTGTGTAGTCTTATTCGAGAAAATATAAAGAAAAATAAAGAAATCCTGAACTCACCTTCGAAACAGAACCACGCAATCGCCGATAGTATTGAACAATGAAGAAACACAGTAGTAAAACCACAGAGAATACTCGTCTCATTCTGCTCAATGCCGATTAGGAAAAGAATTTCAATGAAAAGTAGACATATATAAATGCTGCGGTAGATGGAAGTGCGCGCAGACTGTAAAAAAATAAGAACAGAATAGGGAAAATGTGCAAAATTTTTTGGAAAAAAGTTTTAGAAAAACAGATACAGTTTAATAAATTAAAAAAAAAAAAACATGTGAATGAAAAAGTTACTAGCGGCAGCAGCAACAGTTTTTTTGGTAGACAAAAAGAATCTTATAATGCAAGTACATTATATAGTAAGCTATTAATACAGTTTTTAGGGCTTGCAAGGTACAGCATGAAAAAATTTCTCAAAAATGTTCAAAATTATTTTATATATAGTTTTGAAATTTTGAAGCTTAAAATAATTTTTCATAAATTTCGCCAAATTAAAAAAAAAAATCGACATTTGTAGGAAATTTTTTGCTTAATTTTAATTTTTTTTGCTTATTTAACTGTATTAATAATTTTATAGTAAAGTGGTGGTGGTTTTTGGTATTGGTGGATTTTTGGATAGGATATAGACACAGCAAATGAGACGATTTACAAAAAGAAAAAATAACACACAAAACAGCAAATAATTTAATTAATGAACACAATGACAAATGGACGAAAATATTTGTTTTCAAATACGCAAAAGGACATTTATTGTGATTTATGTATGAAATGTGATGAGATTTTAAATAAATGCCAAACTAAAACATATGCAATTTATGCTAACTTAAATAATATAAACATTAAAAATCATATGCATTCTATGAACTAAATTTACTAAAAAAAACACAAGAACATACACACTAAAAAAATGAGAAATTAAAAGAAAATCTTAAAATCCAAGCAATTAAATACACATGCACTAACGCCATAAGGCACTAAAATAAAGTAAATGTCATAAATCACTAAAAAATTTTATACTTAACAGTATATCACATTTACTACTACAATAATCAGTACAAATAACAATAAAAATTATAAATCGAATGCATAAAAAACATAAACAACTTAATCAATTTAGAATTTCACGTTCCTTCTAAAGTATTTTAAAGCGGCTAAGTCGCTTTTACCTTTATGTATAAACTAAGCTACTTACATACATATATGTACGTTTATCCAAATAATCGTCTACATAATTATCATAAACTCAAATAAAAAAACAAAGAACATTAATCATATGAAATATTTCACCACCACCACCACTTATACTGTAAATCTTCCATATTTCCTTGCATTATAATATTATTTGTATTTGTATTCGCATCACCAATGCGATTGTTGACGCCCACATTATTACTGTTACGATTCACATTCAAATTATTATTGCTGCCCGCATGCTGTAGCGCTGCAGCAATTGTAGCAGCCGCCGCCATGGCCGCCACGGACGTCGTGTTACTCATCGACGTCTCTATGGTGCCGTGATGGGGTGCATGTGCCGCCGCCGCGCTAACATGCATATGCGTAGACGTTGCCGGCTGATTCAGATTGTGACCGTGCGGATTGTGATGATGTGGCGGTTGTAAGTTTAAGTTCAAATTCAAATTATTCATTTGTAAGTTGCGTTGGTTATGCTGTGCCACCACAACTGCAGCAGCGGCGGCAGCCACGACTTGTTGTTGCTGCTGCTGTTGTTGTTGCTGCGCGGCCTGTTGCTGCAGATTGAAATTGTTAGCATTCAAGTTGTTGCGATTCGAATTTCGTATTGAATTGTGTTGTATGAAATTCGAGGGCGTTGCACTAGCGTGATGACTACCCGACGCGCCCATTATATTTGGTATATGTTGTAAGTTGAGTTGCTGTTGTAGAGTTTGTATGTTGTTAGTGGGTGTTGGCTCACCGCTTGAGCCGGATGCTGTTGTCGCTGTACCCGACGCTGAAGTAATTGCGAGCGTTTCATGCGTCTGATCACGTATATTGTTCTGGCGGCGGCTGCCGCGCTGTCGCTGACTGCCGCCAAGACCACCCTGACTACCACGACGACCGCTTACCTTTATGAATACGCCATTGAAGATCTTAAGCGTTAGCAATGCAATGACCACAAACACCAGACAAATCGATATGCTGATGTAGATAAGTATACGCATGTTGCCATTAAAGACGCCAAACAGCGAATGATTGTGCTCGTCCATAACGTCCATTAGTATGGCAAAGTTGGTGAGATGATTGCACATACAAATGCTGTGCGTACGATTTGTAGACTCCAAGTTGCACCCATTTGCCGACCAAGCGCTATAAAGAGTTAATTAATAATTTGCAATCAAGCGAAAAATGTGGTAAAAGCGACTTACTGATCTATGTAGTTCCAAAAGACACAGGTTGGGTTTGTCACATTCTCGGTTTTTATGTGCCGCAAAACTAATTTGATGGGTTGTGATAGTTGTATATGACGCCCTTTGCCCAAACTAGCCGATATCACCTTACTATTTAGTATGCGTATGCGTTGCTGCTGGATATCAGCAGCTGCACCTGTATCATTGCGTTCACTTGCCAGTAAAGCAGTGTTGCGAACTATTTTACAAAGTGTTGATGTATAAATAAGAGCAAATATTTATTAAAGTAAAATTAAAGAAAACTTACCGTAACTACGGGAGCTCTTGGAATCAAAATGATCGTATGATGGTTTCAAAATCGATTCTAGCCGGTCGAATGCAGCAAAAACTATGCGTACAAGCCCACCTTCGCTGTTCTCAATCAACGCAGTTCGTGGTAACTCAATGCGGTCATCACTGATTTGCCACTGTTCGAGGTCTGGGAAAACTTCATTGCTCTGGATATTCTTTGTTTCCAAAACACGTACAGATAACACTAAATAAGGACGAGAAAAAGTAATGGGATAAGACCAAATTGTATTTTTGGTACTATTTCAATGAATTATTTGCAAACCTAGTTGCCAAATTTTTAATTGTATATTGTCTTTATTTTTATACCATCCCTCTTCCACTTACATATATTTTTGACTTTTTGCACAATATTCCGCTCGCGTATTATCGTATCGGCCAACAGAAATGCATTGTACTCTAGTCCCGTAAGCAGCGATGTTGCAACACGCATTTGATCTTCCTGATTTAGATCCATCCAAGATGATAATTGCGACTCGTCCAATAAATTTGAACCAGTTTTTACTACACCATGTAGGAGCTCTAATATGATAGCCTCACGCTGGCGTTGATCGGGTAATGTTTCTTTGTCATGAAACATTTTTTCCGACATGGTTTGTATAATTTTTGTGGTAACAAGCATATCACCGCCATACAGAGTTTTACTGCTAGTCACCTATATTAGAAAAATCAAATGTAAATTTTCAATTGAAACATCCCACGATTAAATATAATAATTTTTACATACCTCCGACAGATCATTTGCAATTGAGATAACCGATGATTCTCGTTGGTTGACGCGTACCTCTAAGCTGTTTAACCATAGACTACGGCATTGCGTCAGATCGGGTGTTAAGGGGTGCCAAGTGGGTTCAAAGTTCCCTATGCGACGATTGAGTCTATCAGCGGCGGTTTCGCAGCTACTATTTGCGTTGGCGCTGCAATTAGAGCGTAGCATTGTGCGCATGGTAGTTGGCTCTGGTGTACCGCCAACGTCTTCTTTAAACGTGACGCGCTTCATGAGCACACACCGCCATTTCGCAATGCCTGTGGCACCGCCTAGTAAAGAAGGTATTTTGTTTTAACGCAACGGTAATTTCTAACTAAACATTTGAATTTTACCTGGACATGGCTGCACATTTACATCGCCAACACGCGTTATATTCCAGAACAAATTACGTGCATTTGTGGGTCCACAGAACATATTCGTTTCATCCTCAGCAACCGCACCCAAACCCAAATTGAGATTGTTTATGTTGTTGATGGTGCGGATGCCAGTACCTCCGTTGCCAGCATCTGTGGCGGTGCCTATTAAATTATTATTATTACCACCAGTGACATGTTGTTGGGTAGCTGTACTCTGCGGTTGGTTGCCACGATTTTGCGCTGTTTTAGCAGTTAGCAAGGTGCCGTCATCTGTGCCACTGCCACCAACCCCGCTAAGTATACGTGTATTGGGAGAGGTGGTTGTGTTGGACGGACCCGTGTAGGATTTGGCTGTTCGCAGAAATATTAGGCAAATATTAAAGCAAACAAAAAATTATAATTTAAACAATAACTAACTTTGATTTGTACTTGGCGTTCGCATTGCTGCATCACCTTTCGCTTGTGATCGAGTATTGGACCCTGAAGCATCAGCCGCATTGACCGCATCCCCTGACGACGTTGGGTGATGTCCCGAGTGGTGGTGATGATGCAACGGCGGCGGTGGTGGTAACCCGTCATGCCTATTAGAATTCTTTATCGCCGTTGTATTGTAGCTACCCTTTAGCCGGCCACCCGGCAAGGTGGGTTGCGGTGGGCCCGGCGTTGGCGGTAGCGTATGCCATATGCCACCTGCGGCTGGAGCACCCGCACCAGCGGGCAATGGCAGGCGACCGGGCCCCGGTGGTTGGAGAGGAGCACTCGGATTGATGAGCGTGCTGCCATTAGCAAGCAACGGTGGGTTATTCGCCAAAACCCATGGCGGACTTGGACGATTTGTGGTAGTTGATGTTTGTGAGGCCGATATGCATTGATAGTGTGCCTCCAAATATTTGTGTGTGCCAGGGCAGGGATCGCCAAACATGCTCGTCGTCGCCAACACACTGCAGCTTTGCTTGTGCGCGCATCTGTTGCAAATTGAAGTGTAACCAGCAGTTATAATATAACGTGCGTGTGGGGTCCTTGAGATTAAACGGTACGGTAGGTACTTACTTTGAATTTAACACGGTCAAACTTTTGGGAAACATGCAATTCACGCTCCATTCCACGTTGCCATGGTCATTGCATATAGTTATCGAGAACCGTCCATAGTTTGCGCGTATCAGGTTAATCAGGTCGCCTGGATCGCATTCAATTGTTAATTTCTTACCTTCGCAAGCGTAGGCCGTTTGGTATTTGGGTGCTATTAGAAGAGGAGTGGAAAGTTAATCAAAAATGTTCAAAATATACATTTTCGCAACATAGCAAGAAATTTTCAATTATGCAGTATGTCAAATATACAATGTATGATATTATATAGTAGGTAATATGGTTAGATTAATATATTAATTAGAGTTATGTTGAATGTCGTTGTAGTAGTTGATTTGGTTTGGTTTGGATTGGTTTGATGATGTTGATCTGAAAATAGATTAAGAGCTATGCGTGGCACAAAGTATATGTATGATTTCAAAAATATGTGACATTTAGACAAACATATGCATATAAATAGCAATAAATGGTGAGCACAATCATGTTTTTAGCCTACGTTAGATACTTAGAATGCCTCCCGGCGTGTTTGCCGCATGATTTCTTAGCTTTGTTGCTTAGTGTTCATAAATACCAATGCCATCAGAATTAAAGTTAAAACTCAGCGTACACCTCCTGCTATAGTGAGAGCCAGTTCAAGTAGTCCAAATGATGACGATGATTCATCCAACTTCTTTTCTGTGTAGTCTGTTGCTTTTGTTGTCTAGAAAGTGAGGTCATATTTGGAGAGTATGACGAGTGCCAAGCTGCTGAAAGAGAACAATGGGCAAGCTTAGGCATTTCCAAAAAAAAACAGGTATGTATTTATTCTTTAAATTATTAATATACACTGAAAGCGCCTACATCTGCTTTATTTCAACCCCAGCTGCTCTTATTCATACCATTTACAGAAATGGCGTATCATAATCAAATTTGTATTGTGATACATACACACCTATGACCCAAAAAAGCAAATAACTGGCTTAAAATGCCACAGCGCACGTATTTTGTAGGGATAAGTAAATTCCAAAGGGTATTACTGCATTTGTGTGCAATTCCCAACGCAAACACTTCTCAACAACGAACAAATAGTAAAAGAGAAATTCGACTCAGTATATTCCGATTGAAGGCACGAACTGCACATTTAAAAAGGCGATTAAACGTTTTGTTGCAACTTACAACCAGGCAAATGCCATCAAACTGCTAAGCAGTTGCATGCATCGGCATTGGCCCTGCACGATGTGTGCAACGCACACATATGCACTTTTAATGCAGAGTCGAATGTTCCAATTCTTAATATTCCTCGGGCTCCATATTTTTTGTATCTCACATTCCATGTGTGCGGTCAACTGCGACGCCTTGCAAGGTGGACCTCCTTTGTTGAATGCAAATTACTCAAATTTTTAAATTATTCTTTTAAAATATTTATACGACCCTTAGTTAAATTTTTAACCTGATTATTTTTGCTTTTTTTCAGAAATTTATCATTGCTCCCAATAAGAACGCATCCGTCTGACATAGCCCACCAAGTTAAAATATGCACTTAAATTTTAAATTAACAGGGCCATGTTGTTAAAATGCAACTGTTTAACAGCGCTGCAACTGTTTGACAGCACCGATGTAGAGAAACTTCGTTCGTTTTACAGCGCAGCAACATAACAGTCTACCTAACAGCGGCGCCCGACTTTTTCCGACCTGTCTGCTGTTAACCACTTTCCCCAATTAGTCGAAGGCAAGTAGTTTAAACAAAGAAAAAGCTATAAATTTCACATTTTCAACGGAATTTTTTTCGGCATCGAAATCCATTGTCCTTGTTCACTACATTTTTGCAATTTTTACTATTTAAAAACCACTAAAATTGCAAATAATTGTAAAATTATTCAGAGCTACACACCTTTGCGACTTGTAAAAATTCTCTACACTATACGAATGACGACTGCACACGGTTGCCACTTTTTCCTTTTTTGAGTACCAACAAATGTACCAAAATGTAAAAATTCTACCAATATACCTTCAAACTATAGTGGTTGTTCACACTCAAGGCATATAAATACAGGTAGAAGCCAAAATGACGTTGCTCTCATGAGAACCAAACCTTTAAACTTCAACTTGTTTTTCATTTATTTCCTATATTTCGTTACGCTTTGAATGTCATATCGAGCTAAATGCGCTAAATGTGCTTTTACGCGTAAGCAAAAACAGCCCATTATTTTACCAGATATCAAAATGTACCAAAATGGAAAAAATTTACCAAAAATGGTAAATTTCGGACGAAATGGCAACCGTGCGAGTGCAGAGGAGCAAAAGTATCTCTGTGAACAAAATGGAACTGCAAAATGGTGGATTTTAGTAGTTCCGCATAGAGGAATTTGGGAGGTGTTTTTAAGGTCTCCAAAGTGTTTAAGCGTTTCTGTGTTTTGTTTTAGGCGTTACAATGAATGCTAATACTTTTGTTTGTTTAGACGAATATTTAACTAAATTTTAATTATTCTGTTTGGTTTTTTCGGTGATATATTAGACCAAAGCTTAAGTTTTCATTAGTTTAAAGACCTTTTAACGCCTCCCAACTAGTCAATTACTAATTAATTCCTTTCTACACAAACACCCCTTAATCAATTACATATCCATATGCATGTGTACAGAGACATGTTTGTATTATTTCAGTGGATTTTCATTGCAATAAAAGGCAAATCCAATTTTTAACATTTTTATTTAACTTTATTGACAAACAAACACCATGACAAACAACGACATCAATTGTATATTGACAAGTTTATAACTCAGGTGGATTAGTCGATACATAATTTACGTGCCACTCTGACACTTTGCAATAACAGCTATCACATAACAATATAAGTATTTATGTATTTAAGTAAATATTTATACAATTCGCTTTTGGTTTTAGTAAAGTAACTATCTGTTTAAGTAGTGAAACGAAGAATCAATTCCTTAAACTTTATACGCATGTATGTATGTGTATTTCTATATAATTAAACATAATTTGTTGAACTTGCTTAAAGTGAAATCGTCATACTTATTTTTGGCATACTTACAATAATATACTTTTTATGCTGATATGTGTAATATAATGAATTTTCATTTCATTTGTATGTAAGTCGCTTCTCGAACTCTTAATTAATATAATTTGCTTATGGCTAAACTAATACGTATGACTGTACTACTTTTTACTTATGTTCTTAATGCTTATACATATTTTTTTCTAAATTTAT